GTTTCTGGTTCCTTTCTTCATCTGACCACTGGACTCGGCGCATCCAACACTACCAGCTGGATATTCACCTAGAAGCCATTAGTACCAGACTCGCGCATTCAAGAGTTGCGTATCTCACCTCCGATACCGATACCGACGAAAAATCGCCAAGCAGTCAGCATGTTGAACATTCCGACTGCCTGTCCATGCCAGTAAGACCCAGCTGCCAGAGCAGTGAAAATGATGAGAATAACAGTCGAGACCATGAGGGTATTGGTTCGCGACCAATGATCAGCAAGGAAACCAAAGACCAGCTGGCCAACGACTGTTCCAGCGAAGGCGATATCAGAAACGTATTTGAAGGCATTAGAGTTGGCATAGACATCTCCATATTGTCGTTTCAAGGTGGTGTTGACGGAACCAATGACCTACTCACGTTAGAAATGAAGGACAGGATATTTACAGCAGTTCTCACGTTGTTGATGTAGCCATCTGAGAAAAGACCAGCACCGCAGGCAAACACTGGGAGGGCAGTCTCCATCCAAGGTCTTTGGGGGATGTCGTCTTGAGGCGTGTGCACTTCATCATGAGGGGCTTCATCAGAGGCATCGCCCTCGCGTTTCTTGCCGAACCCCAGCATCGTGGATGGGCAAGGATGTATTGATCACAGGTGATAAGGTTTTGGTTATCGTGGGGAAGAGTGCACGCCTAGTCACAGTTATAAGAGAGGGGGAGCCAAAGCCACGGTCACGTTGAGATCTGACTAAAACGCCAAAGATTGGTGATGCCTCGGGAAAGAAAACAAAAGAATTGACTCGGTGTCACAGGATTTCTAGAATTTAAGAGAAAACGGGGGCCATCCTCGTGGTGGAGCAATGGCTTCTTGTCAGGGAGATAAGGTCTGGCGTCTGTGGAACAAAAACTGGGCACCGAGTGATTGACCCAAGTTGTTTTGAGAAGCTGGTAATGTTGCACCAACGAATCATTACGTACACGAGACTCGAGAGCCCAACATCATAGGAGAGAGTGACCGGAGGTAACCGACACGGACGGCACTCGGCGCGTTGGGCCAATTGACTTTGATGATGCACATGAATCCTTTGTTGTCGATTTATTGCCGAGTTTGGTCGTCGGTGGCGCCAACCGCGCCCTCTGCTCGGCTCAAAATTGCCGATGGGCCTGTCAGAGCGCCCACTAGCACTGATATGTCAGGTGAATACGAATATGCTCTATCACCTGTCAATTCCCGCTCAGCAGCAGTTGACGAGGCCCAGTATTAGGAGGGAGGGAGGAGATTTCACCTGGGGGAGGGTCACAGAATGGCTGGGGAAGAGGAGACACCGTCGTGGAGTTAGTGGCAAGCCAATCTTGATCAAGAAAGTCGATATCTCTGGAGCCTGGAGACAACAGTAAGCGGGGATCAATTGATATTGCTGCTAATCAATTACTGCATGGGTTAGTGCATCATGCATGTGATTGTTAGTGATGAGAGATTGGGCACACGAGCAATTCCTGCAACAAGATTTGATGACAGGCACTAATGCAGCAGCTTACAGTGCACGTGGTGGACATAAGCCCAGGCTACATGACACCAGTCATCAAACAGAACCGCCTCTATAGCTCAGTGGTAGAGCGTTGCACTTGTAATGCAAAGGTCCATCGTTCAATCCGGTGTGGAGGCATTTCTAAACCTTTTGTATTTTTGAGCAAATTGCAATGAACATATCGATCGATTGTCTTTTTACTTATCAGATATCTAATCATAAAGTGTTAGGTGATTTTTTAAGCCTCATTTTCAATTTACTTATGCATTTCCTTAAAGCAATAAGAATAAAGTTTAGGTTCTCAGCCACAATATGCAGAGAGAGTACCTCAAAACTCTCGTTTATGCGAGGCGCATATAATGTCTTATCCATCTAATGCCTCTATACGTCAATGCACATCTCACAGAGTATACACAAGCTTTCCTCCAGAAACCTTGTTCGCTCTCAATTCATCCAAGCCCTTCAGAATACCCTCAAAGCCACTACCGCCGCGGTTGACAAACGTCTGGGGAGCCTTTAGCTTGCCCTCCTCAAGCAGCTGTCGGCTGATCTCCCAGAACTTCTTCGCAAACTCAAACTCTTCTGGCTGAGCAGGTGTCTCCTGTCCCTTGAAGAATCGCTCGCCAAAAATGGAATACATGAGCGTTACATAGGGTCCATCGACCTTGGGGTTCACATCGAGCAACTGCTGCTTGTCGACTGGCAGAAGAGTAGCGTACTTGCCGCCTTCGGTGCTGATAGCTCCAGCGCTGATGGCGACGCCCTGCGCGGTGCAGTCCCAGGCGAGCTTCAGTGTATTGTTGGTGTACTTGCGAATTTCTTCAGCGACGTTGGGCGACTTGTAATCAAAGACTACCTCAGCTCCGAGGGACTTGAGATAGTCGAAGTTGTGAGGAGAAGCAGTCGCGATAACCCTCAGACCCGAAAGTTTGGCGAACTGAATACCGTAAATGCCAGTTGCAGTGCTGCCGCCGTAAATGAGGATAAACTCATCGCTCTTTTTGCCCTCGGTGGGTAGAGGCAATCCCAAAGTTTTATAAAGGCCTTGACCCTACGTCGGTAATCAGTATTTATGCTTTTTACTCGCCAGGTCAAACTTACTACTGTGGCAATAGAGATACCGAGAGTAGCAGCCTCCTCATCAGTAACATTATCGGGCGTCTTGATCTGGACATCTCCCTTTGCCACAATGTACTCGGCAAAGCCTCCGTTCTCGAGCTGAGTTGCATCACTAGATATGGTTAGATGATTTTAACCAAGCGATACCGAAATACTGACGCTCCATGGACTACACCGCTAATCCGGTCGCCCTTCTTGAAAGCCTTGGTAACCTTGGGACCAACTTCCTCAACGATACCAGCATAGTCACATCCGATTCTAGAGCCAGGTTTAGTGAGGCCGAAGTCGATATGCTTCCAGTCGGTGGGGTTCAAGCCAACGGCATTGACCTTGACGAGGATATAATCGTCTCGGAGCTTGGGCTTCGGGACCTCCTGGATAGTAGCCTTGCCCTTCTCAACGAATACGATAGCCTTGGTAGTCATGATGTTGGTTTGTGTTGTTGTGAAGCTACTGTTCTGCGAGTAATGATAAGACTTGCTTGATGAATATCATCAAGATAGAGAAGCTCTTGAGGACATTTATACCGCTAGATGGCGTCATGATAGTGGAACATAGAATGGTGAGTATGCGTCATTGATTGGCTGCTTAAACTTTAGCTTGGTGTTTAACGCTATCCCCATGGAACGCCGATTACCAATCTACCTTAGCTTGATAATCTGCGGGGACAACGCCGAAGCTCGGGATGTATTATCTATATAGCTTCCTATGATTTGACTTTACGGGAATTGGTGATATCATGGTGCTACTCAAGTATGGAGTTGTTATGTAAATCACCCCGAGGATGATATAAGCATGCCACCAAGGATCGTGATTATTCTGACTTGGTACTAATGGCCTAGCAAGTGACAAATCTCTGCGCGAATTGCCGTCTGTATCTTCTGCAAACTCGCCAATTGCCCACGTTGCGATCGCTCACGTTTTCCACGTCCCTTCATCCTCCCGGAGACAGCTTGGGAAGATACTTCCATATCAGCTAGCATCAGAGTTCTCTGTTACTGATATATCAGTTACATATACATTCGTATAGTGACTCTCTGAAGTTAATGGATTTCCAGTGTGTTGGCTTGATATATCCTGTTGAGATATCATGGGCTTCGACTATCAATCAGCTCTCTATTTTGAGAATATTGACTCCTGTATCAACAAGTGTTTCTCTTACATGCCGTTTCCAGAAATCCATGTCATGAAACAACATTACAACGGCGCTATTCCCAACCGGTATGGTAATAGATTGTGCTTGGTCGGTTTAGCATACTGGACGTAATTCGAGGGTCAGACCATATCCATACACTTGGGTCTTATATTTTAGGTTTATGACCAGGACCGGCAATATACAAATGTGAACTTCAATGAATCAAAAGAGTGGATAAGCGGTTGTTGTCAAACAAGCCGAACGACCAAACACAGAGTCGTGCGGATCAGCTGGTGACATCAAGTGAAGGCATTACTCACTATCTCATTCATGGCCAGGAACTTCTATCAAGCCGTATTGTCAAGAACGGTGGTAGCCGTCGGTCAATAACCGTAGAGTCTATGTGTAAACTCTCTAGATGAAGTTCGTGTTTCAATTTAACCCAAGATATAATTGAAATATCACGATTTTATTATGATGCCACCGGACTTCACTCGAGGTATGGAACCAAGACCGAGTTTTCTTAAGCTTTAGTGAAGCTTACCATCAAGTCAGTTAATGGCAAGGTTCGACACTGAGTCGTTTATCCAGGCTCCAGGGCCAACCCGTTCAGCAAGGTCGGTCCTTCAACCATCCAGGCGTCACGAAGTCCAATAGACAATATTATCTGACTGTAGATATCCTCTACACTCTTTTTGTCCTGTCAGTCTTCATATCAACTAAGAGAGGAAACAAATGAGCAAGAATACACATAATTGCAGTTGGTTTCAGCGTTGTCCTAAGTTAGAGGACAATTTCGATACAGTAGCGATCAAACAACATTTAGAGTTCGACATATATATGCTGTATGACAACCGGATCTACGACACCGCCCGCACGACATGACAGTAGCTACGATGAGTTATTTGCTTCAAGTTACATATCTCTTCAAATATCAATGGGCCTCCTTACCAGATCCTGAAACACTCTGCCAGAAAGAGCAATGGCATGCGAACGAACCAATGGGGATTCAAGAGAATATCAGTTATCAGGCTATTAGCAGCTGGGAGTCAGTAACGACTGGATACTAGAGCATTCAGCACCCTGGATTGCTCTGCATTAGTGCTGACATCAGCCCCCACCATTATCCTGCAAACAAACATCTGCGATGCTCCCGTTCTTGTAACAGCACCATATTCGCCAAGAGATTCTGTAAATCCTTTTATTAACATTGCCATAACAAAATGAACGCCTCACTAGAACTCTTTGCCCAGCTCACCAACAGATTGCGTATCTGTTATCAAACCTTTGGCGACCCGTCAGATCCTGCTGTCATACTCGTGCCAGGCAATGCGGATTCAATGATAGTATGGGCAGAAGGTCTCATCGAAAAGCTTCAATCTTCCGAAGATGGCAAGAAATACTTCGTGGTTCGCTTTGATCCGAGAGACACGGGCCTATCAACTGAGTTTCCCGTGCCTGGCGGATACTCAATTGGAGACATGGCAGGCGACATTGAGGGACTTGCAGATCACTTGAATCTCAACGATCCCTCAAAGGGCTTCCATATTGTTGGTCTGAGTAAAGGAGGGCCAGTCGCCTACACAGTCGCCGCGCGTAGGCCCCGACAAGTCAGAAGCCTGTCGCTTCTGTACACGTCTCCCGGCGTGAGTCCTGAGCTCCCAATCAAAGGAGGACTTGATCTCGGGTTCCAACCAATGCTGGCTGGCTTCGGAGATCAGAGGGAAACTGCCATAAAAAACGGAATGACCGTCTATGACGCACTCACAACGCAGCCTGATGCGGATGAGAGAAAGGAGGTGGAGAAGGCGGTGAGACGTCTAGTGGAACGGGATATCAAAGGTGGCACATTGTACAGCAAAGCTCCGAATCACGGCGCCGCGTCGTACGAAAAGGATGGTTGGCCAGGGGCTGATACGCTCAAGATGATCAAATGCCCGACCGCGGTTGTGCAGGCAGGCAAGGATCAGATCTTTGGGGAGATTCACGGAGAGGCGTTGGCGAAAGCGATACCCGGTGATGTTGAGTATGTGCTATGGGAGGATGTTGGGCACGAGATGCCACGACGCATCTGGGGCAGAATGGCCAAGGTACTGCAGAAGAATTGGGAGAGGGGTCAAAGCGCGGATCATGTTGGCCGTGATGCGGAATAAAGTGACAGGTTACTGGACAAGACGAGCTTGTTGTGTTACTGTCCAATGAGGGGCAGAGTGAAACAAGACAACCAACAGGCCTTAATATTGTTCTCTTTATCCGATGCCCCTGTCTAGGCACCTACCAACGGAACAATCAAGCCGCTATCTGATAGTTGTGAGACATAACTGCTATTCATAGCATGACCGGCCATACGTCCATGGCAAGTGTTATTTCCTCCAGTCGAAACACATGAATCAGTGTTAGGCACTCCACATGATGCGGTCGATTATTGTGACCTGTCCAACATCTAATGCAGCCAAGGGCCCGGAAGCCGTGATGATTCACAGACTATGAATCATAATCCTGGGCATTCATCCGCTTTCGTATGGTTTGTCAGAGTTGCAAAGTAGTATAAAGAAGGGAAGCAGAAGCCTTCTCAACCAAAGTGAATCATATTACTTAACATATCTCCAGCAACTTTCGCCCACCGTATACTCCTTGACATGTTGTTCAGTACTATATGCGCAGGACTTCTGCTGCCGATTGTTGCAGCCAAGGTGTCATATGATGGCTGGAAAGCTTTCTCCATCACTGCTCGCCCGTCCGACAAAGATATCCCGAGCCTTCTGAAAGACATCTATCACGTCTCTTTGAGCTGCGGGCAAAATCGCAACGTTTTTGAGGTCGCCATTCCTCCTGAAAAACTGGATGCCTTTAAGCGTCTTGGCCTGAAAACCGCCGTTGTGAGCGATAACATGGGCGCCGAGATCGCCCAGGAGGGAAGCTTTGGGCTCTACAAGGGTAAGTAACCCCAGTATCTTTTCACCTCATGCATTACTGATAGTTGGTAGCTACCACCAAACTTTCCGGCGATAAGGCGAAGCTACCTGATAAATCTTACTTCAAGTCCTACCATAGCTTCGAGCAGCACCTACAGTTTCTGTCCGATTTGCAAGCCTCGTTCCCCAAGAACTCGGAAGTCTTCACAGCTGGTGAGACTGTACAGAACAGAGAGGTCCAAGGGATTCACCTCTGGGGCAAAGGCGATAAGGGAAGAAACCCTGCCATCGTTTGGCATGCGAACTCTCACGCACGCGAGTGGATCAGCGGAATGGTAGGAAACATCCAACTCAGTAGAGGGTTGTGGCATTCTAATGCTTTCGCAGACCGTTGAGTACATGGCGTGGAAGCTTGTCCAAGGTTATCAGAATAAAGATCGTCTTGTTCGAGATACACTTAACAACTACGACGTCTACATCATTCCGATCGCAAACCCCGATGGTGAGTCTTCGGAGGTCTCTTTGGAACATGAAACACGGATGCTGACTGCTTCATAGGCTTCGTCTATACTATAACTGACGACCGGTTGTGGCGAAAGAACCGACAGAAGCGAGCTGGTAAGAAATGTATCGGCACCGACCTCAACCGTAACTGGCCTCATGAGTGGGATATCCCCGGTGGTTCCTCCACTGATACTTGCAACGAGACGTATCGCGGCATGAAGGCTGGCGATACTCCTGAAAACAAAGCTCTCGTCAAGCATACCAAATCAGTTGCGCAGAAGAATGGCATCAAGTCTTACATCGACTTTCACTCTTTCAGCCAGTTGATCCTCCTTCCGTACGGCTACACTTGCGACACCAACATCACCGATATCAACGAACAGATGGAACTCGCTGGCGGCGTTGCCGACGCTATCAAACAGGTCAACGACTTGAACTTCTATTACGGCCCAACTTGCCAAACCATCTATCAGACTTCGGGTGGAAGTAGTGACTGGGTTTATGATGTTGCTGGAGCAGAGCTCGCTTGGGGTATGGAGCTTCGGCCCCAGAGGTTGAGGGGCAATGGGTTTGTTCTTCCACCGAAACAGATCGTTGAGTCTGGTGAGGAGATCTGGGCTGGAATGAGATATCTCTTTGAGAACTTCTGAGCAGACAAGCTCGGATACAAGCCCCAGGGTTTTTGTGGGCAGTGCAAATAGATCGCAGTCAAATTGCTACGAGGTTGGCACCAGTTACACCATTGTCGATTCCTGACTTCCACGAGCAAAGTCTCAGATAGTGAGTCAACGCTCTCTCGAATAGAAAAATTTATCACAAATACAATTAGAGAGTAATTCAACAAAAGACATGCGCATTGTGTCGTGTGCTGCTCAAGAACTCCGATAAATGCTTTGTCATCAAGCATATCGGTGAGATGGCCGAGTTGGTTATGGCGCCAGGTTAAGGTCAACCTTAACACCAATTCCTGGTGGAGCAATCCTCCTGGGTTCGAGTCCCAGTCTCATCAAGTTGTTCTTTTTGCGCTTCTTTCTTTTTATGCCCAATTGCTCCTTAGGAGACACGGACAGATCTCAGTGGTTGGTCCCCTCGACTTTGTCTCCAAGTGTTCGAAACTTGAACCAGATCCTTGCACTCTCCAATCAACCATGACCATTTTGCTAGGAAGCTTGGAGTAACTTCCCAGCTCTCGCTGAGATGCGGCTCGCCCCATAAGATCATTCCAGCATTTTCTTTTGGTTCGTTTCCTCCTTCTAACTTTTTGTATGGCGGGACAATGCACCTTGTTGACGGCACCGCAGGAGGTAAAATGTACACGTAATCACCGACCAAATCCTCCAGAAACTGTATGTGATCATATATGAGTTGCTTCCGAATGAGATTGTCTCTGAGCTCTGGAAACGGGAGGATGTCGATCCAGCAAGGATGTGGCGAGGTCATCTGGATCTGAGTTGGCTCAAGGCGAGTTGGTAGTGGTAGATGTTCTCGATCAATGGATCGGATGACGGCGATGTCGCAGTATGTCTTTGATTGAGGCTCTAGTGTTGGGAAGTCGAATGCTATGATAAACTCGGCAAACAGTCTCAGCATTTTCTTGTTGGTCATCATGCCTCGGCAAACATTGTAGCTGATGAGATGAAGAAGACGATGGTCAACAGAGATGACTACGCCGCTGTTGTAGTTAGATCGGTTCACTATGGTAAGCTGCTGTGATGGCGACTCTTCTTCTTCTTGCCTGGATGGCGCTATATTCTTGGTCGAAGCAGTCTTGGGTTCTTCTTCATTTTTTGCGTCGATACCGATCCTCCAGCGGTCAACTCGATAAGGGCGTTTGCCCGGCCCATTCCTATCCTCATTCTCTCTCCTCAAGCGGTCCCCTGAAATGACATTTAGTACCAATGCAGCTCAGCGGAGATAAGGTTTCATACTCCGCGCTCTCTGATTCAGCCGGTTCTGTGCCCGCTTACGGGCCTTGCGCTCCTGGTCATAGTCGGCAGCCTCCATTGCTCCTGTCAAGAGTTTAATGTGGAGATGAGACGATTGGAATTGCGATACCAAGGAAGGAAAAAGAAGTCATCCATGACACGGAGATATATGCCAGTCTCATAAAGGAAAAAGACGTCAGCCAGCTGACAAAGGGTTGAACTCCGCCAAACCCCCAAACTCCGACGCTAACCAAATCAGGTAGAAACTGTCACCCATGATGCATCATGATCGCAACTAGGGGTCCGGAATTAAGCGGTAGTTGTCGAAAGCCTAAACCTTGTCATCGTCGTGCGTGCATCACTTGTGAATTTGAGTGGTTTGATTGGTTACTTCGATGTTGATGTCCTGTAGGTTTAGTCGCAAGATCGAAAGTTGTTGGAACATGAGGTGACTGAATTAAGTATATAAGTCATGCCTTGTCTACGAACTTGAGGAATCGAATCTCCTTCAAGCTCTCTTCACATTGCAACATCCATCTCTCAATATCTCTATCTCATATACCAAGACAAAATGTCTCGATACTCTGCCGCACATGAGGACACCCAGGGCCCCGGCGACGCCAGACCTACTGCCCTTCAGATCATCAAAGACGAAGGCGTCGAAGGCAAGCTCAAGGGCAAAGTCATCGTCATTACCGGAACTTCTTCTGGTATTGGTATCGAGACTGCCAGAGCTCTCGCAGAAACTGGCGCCAGATTATTCTTGACTGCAAGAAACCTGGACAAGGCAAAGAAAGCCTGCGAAGCATTCTTTGATGCCAGTCGAATGGACTTCATCGAGCTCGACCTGACTTCCTTTGACAGTGTTCGTGCTGCGGCCAAGACCGTATTAGATAAAACCGACAAGATCAACATTCTAGTTGAGAATGCTGGTTGCATGGCTGTCCCAGAACTTGAGCTCACAAAGGATGGCCATGAGATGCAGTTCGGAGTCAACTACCTCGCGCACTTCTTGTTCTTCGAGCTTCTCAAGCCAGCCTTGCTCGCGGCCGTGACTCCCGAGCTTAACTCTAGAGTCGTTGTTCTTTCTTCATCAGCACACCAGCATGGCGGTATCAACGAATCCGACAACTATAGCTTCCAGAAGGGCGGTTACGACCCATGGCTCTCCTATGGTCAATCAAAGACGGCTGATATCTACCTCGCCAACGAGATAGACCGTCGATATGGTTCCCAGGGCTTGCATGCGACAAGCGTTCATCCTGGAGGCATCTTGACCGAGCTTTCAAGACATATTCCCCCGGAAGTCCTGCAGTCTCTCGCTAGTAGCGACGCGGCTAGGAAGATGTTGAAGAACCCCGAGCAGGGAGCTGCGACGACAGTCTGGGCGGCTATCGGCAAGCAGTGGGAAAACACTGGAGGAAAATACCTGGAGAATTGCCAGGAGGCGCCTCCAGCTAAGCAGATTGATCCTCACTTCGGTAAAGGGTATGCGCCACATGTTTATGACCCAGAGCGCGAGGCTCGACTTTGGGAGGACGCGCTCAAGATTGTTGGCTTGGCTTGAGGATTAGGCGACCGCACGAGAGTACGTCGTAGATGGTACAGATAGAGTTAATTCAACTCGATGTTGATCATTCCCAGACCGCCATCGTGATCGCCTGTGCTACCAATATCCCCGTCTCATTTGGCGGCGGGTTGTTGCTATAGAAAATGTCGGAGATGGGACCTGCACTACGGGTACGTAAGACGAAATGCGCTGTAGCGCGCGAAGCCATGTCTTAGCTGATATGCACAGTGCCCGTTTGGTCAATCAGCCAGCCACCTGAAAGTCAGCTCTCAGGCAACCAAAAAAAGACCGTCGGATCCCTGTAAGAATGGCTGGTTGCTGTGCTGAGGGTTGGCCAAATGATGCCCGTTGTTCTGCTAAAAGGTTCCATGCATGGGGAGCAATCAACTAATTCACAAGGCTTACAGCCTAGCAACGCACTAAATCGCGGAGAGGTTGCTGTCTCACCCAGGTCTGGAACAAAACACGGCAGCGAGATTCGATAGTGCATCTTTAGGCCATCTTTCATCAGCGCACGAAAGCTCAACGAGCATCAAAATTACTTGGGGCATGAGTTCGACCCTCAATCTGACCGCGACCGCTTTTTTCATGTGCTTTTCAATTACTCCAGGTCGGGTCATTACGTACCGTAATTACTTTGTTGAGGCCATGTGAATCTGGGCATCTGTATCACTCACTGCCGTTCTAACTCATTTGCCGGCATTCCTGCATTAGTCGGCTGTATCCTTGCACCAAAGGAGGGGAGAGTAAGACATTCTGCTCAGCTCGGATGCGCCGTCTGAGGCCATCAGAGAGTAACAGCGGAGTCATCATGCAGATCTCAGCTCGTCAACAGAGACACAATATCAATAGATTCACATGCGCTCTTGGCTTAGACACGGCTCATATGTATAAGAAGATGCATCTGTCCTTTGTTCCCGAGGGCAGCAGCTCATCTCCAAGCCCATATTCCTTGACGCGATAGCATAGTTGATACAAAATGCTTGCCTCTTTTCTCCTCTCGTCGCTGCTGTGCCTCTCCACAGTCTCAGCTCTGCCCAATCCAATTGTCGCTGAGAGAGCAGCGTGCGATTGTTCCGGCACTCGCGACGGTGGATCCAGCTCCAAAGACTACATCTGCCGCGATGCTCGGCTCGGCCCTACCAAGCTCCCAAAGAAGCTCCCGCTGAGCGCAACCGTCGAGAGCTACAACCGCTTTGGTGGGCTTACACCAATTCAATTCCTCCAGACATGGACAGACGAGAAGGGCAACTACAAGTACCCTCCGCAGAATGGCTTCCAGCTTGACGCGAATGGCAATGCCATCAACGGCAGTATGGTTCTCCAGGTCGGAACTCTCGTAGATCGATTTGGAAGCGAATATGGTAAGTCGCGTCGCTTCGCCTCGATCCAACAGCACAGTCTAACAGTAGTATTTTAGGATCGTACGTCTCTGCTGCCTCTGCTCCCTACTCGCAAAGAGCTCTCCCTCCCTCGAACTTGGCTACGAACCCCGACACCCCAGACTTCCCGTACAACTATCACGTCTACCGGGTCATCAAGCCTCTTACAGTGGTTGGAGGACCTATCGCGCCTTGGTTTGGGCAGCCCGGTCTCGGAGCGCAGTTCTTCACTGGTGAAACTGGCAATGTCAAGTTTCTGATTGAGCAGAACTATTTGCAGAAGGAGGATCCGTCAGCTCTTGTTTACAAGTCTGATGGTTGCGCATAATTATTGGGATCGGATTGAGGTGGGCTTCATGTAATGATCTTACGATGAACGACTTATGGATATGTCAGTCCATTCGAGTAGATAATGTCAACCGGAAATAATACTGTCGCTTTCAAGCGCTCCATTCATTCGAGGTCGGCATGCGACAAATAAGCGATGCGAGATTGCATTCAGTCATGATGTCTTCAGTCGAGGTGGCCAAGGCATCGAAGGACATTACTCCGTATACTTCAAGAAATTACTTTTTTCGGCTGACAGGTTAGTTTTGCAACCATTTTGATCATCGCAGACATTTTTGTGCTTGAGCCAGGCGGATATACACATGGCAACCGAGTACTCGATAACCCAGAACTCGGAAGTTCTTGGCGCAGCGAATTGCGGCCCGGATATATGCAGTCTTTCTGATGGGGAACCCTCTCGAATGTGACGTCGGACGAATCGATCTGTGATATCGCGAGGCTCGCCCACGTGTCCCGTCCCAGCTTTGACACTCAGCGACGAAGAAACTTTATGATGCGACCTGAAGAGGCGCGGCAAATGATGCGGTTAATTGGTGCATCTTCAACCCCTCCAGAATTATCTTTGCACTGCCTCGAACTCTGTCAATTGTGGCAGGCAACGATTGAGGCAAATTGAGGCAGTGGGAGCCAGACTTTCGTCTACTGGTCAATGATGCTGTGACGCTTTCGCTTCGACCAAGCGAAATGAACCTTCACCCAGCCACCGCATTTTCAACCACCAAATGCCTCAGGTCCCGAACCATATTCTGCCAAACCTTGGTTTTCACCGCCCCGGTCTTCAGTATAAATTTCTCGTCGAGCCCGCCAAAGCTACGCTTCTCTTCTTCTTTTCTCCTTAGCTCTCTTTGCCTTTTGGCTTAGATCAAGTGTAGTATCTGTTCTTTTCAGTTTAATCTCTGAAAGATGTCTAAGGACATCAATCGTGATTATTCCTATTTTTGGCCAGCGGACGGCTTCCTCTATGCTTGCATATGATCCCGTCCACAGTGTCCCTAGTATTACACTGCCTCTAGGTGACGCGAACGCGCGCTTGTTGAGCTCCATCCCTTTTCATTGCTTTCTTGGGCTTGCCTAGGTAGTGAAGAAGAGTGTAAATAGTAAATAAAGGGCAGAACGCGCTGAAAGTGTCTGTTGCTTGGACTCGTCGCGCTATGTTCGTTTTGCAGTGATAAGATGTCCATGCTTGGTTTTTCAGTATATATGGCTATGTCAAAAATTTGATGTTTGCAATATGTGCAATGTGTCGTTAAAGCTCCGAAGTACACAAATCTTCAGAAGGGAGCTCGCTATCCGTTAAACAACTTGTTATGTGCCTATAAAATTCATATGGGCGTTTTTTTTTTTTCGAGGGCCAATGAGTTGTTAAGTTCTGTCTGTCGTGAGCGATTTGCAGATTCTTATTAACATTTTATAGCGTGAAATATCCTTTACATTGCTACATAACACGATTAGAAAGAGCGATTCAGCTCCAAGACCATTAAAGCATAACGGCATTTAATATCACATGCTTTGTCTCTTATTCACAGCATCAAAGAGCACATCTAGGGTAAGAGATTTAGCCCAGCTGCAAGAGTAACATCAGGAAATTACCCGGTAATCCCCATCCAATTAAAGTTGGTTGCATCACGTGCGCTCTGGATGCAGACTGGAAAATTCCTCCCATAAAGAGGGTCTGACTTATCCTTCACCACCAGCAAAAAGAGAATTCAACATACAACAGCAGGGATTCGCTGGTCGTCACCGACCCAACTACTAATCCGCCGGTTAGTGGCTTGACTATGGGAGAGCAGACGGGATCCCGTATTTTCCACTACCTATGGTCGTATGTGCTTGGTAGACCTGCAACTGCAGGTCATAAAGACAATAGCCTATTCACTACTGCCACTGTGCATCAGAAAACCTCTGTCAGCACCTCAGTTCATGTCAGAACCGATTTGGTCTAGAAACCTGTGAGCAACTTTAATTCTGAAGTCGTAGATCTAAAGACGTCAGCGTGCTGGAGAGCCTGAAACCAAAACCCGCATAAACGCCAACAGCCGTCTACATCAGACGATTCACCACCGTGTTACTGGACCATCTCGTTTCACACCTCCATCGACATGGCATCCCGTCTATCCAAGCGAGAAGAAGCAAAGAATGCTTGGGAATGCAAACACCGGGCCGCGTAACCTTGTTTCTTGAAACAGGGCCACGGGAAAACTCGTCCATCTTGGTCAAAGCTTGCATACATCTCCACCGTGACACGATTCATACCACGATGACATCTTGATCCATGGCTATTGCGATCGAGCGGTTCGCATCTTCTTGTTTCCCTGCTCATCCCAATACAGTAATAAGCACTCGACCTCTCCGGCTTGGTATCCATAGCAAGTCATCTGAACTCGGCCGTGCCGCAGATATTCTCCTATCTATAGTTATCGTGATGATTGCATGCTGCATTGCCATTATATGCTTAACCAACCCTCCGGGAAGCTACTTTAGTGCCATGCGATCAACAGGAATTAAACCGGGAGGTTTCCCTCTGATAGATGAAAAACTCGCCGTGAAACAGGACGAATTAAAAAACTCAGTTTTCCACGAATCAAACTCTAAATACGCGTTTCGCCCATTATTTTCGCATACTGTCACTAATAAATCTGAGGCGGCTATGGAGACACAGTACCCGTCCAATCTGTTTCAGGCAAGATCTCGCCAAGACGTTGCTTTAGACAGGCGGATAATCGGGCTCACGTTCCGATTTTTCTTGGTCATTTTTTGTTCCTGAAACATGACACAGCGAATCGACAGGCGGCTCTTCTGTCCGATGGCCGAAAAGACGCAATGGATCTGATGCTACACTGCAGACCGAAATAATGCCAGGCGATACGCCAGCTCTTAAGGCGAGACGCTTGGCTACTACCCCCTTTAATATCGGCCCTCTTGATGTGGCTGTCGATGACGATCCTAGCTCCCTTTGGGAAACACGGATGCTGATACTCCTTTCGATAGGGCACGAATTCGTCTAGTTCCAGTTTTATCTCCGTCGACCAAAAGGGTCACCTTGTTTTGTGTATAGACTCACAGGAATAGATGCTCCATGTAGGTATTATGGATCAGATGGCTATATAAATGTGAGAGAGTCTTGTCGAGATATTCCAAACCAGCCTTCCAGCAAGCTTCTCTTCACTTCTCACCAATCGACCTTTGCCCAACAAACCTTCTTGTCTTTACTAAACCGCAAACATGCACTGCAATCTCTCCCTCGGTGTCGTGGCTGCTCTCCTCGCTGGAGCCAACGCCCACGGTCACGTCGCAAAGGTCATTGCCGGTGGCAAGGAGTACACCGGTGGTATTCCCCACGGTGCTCCCTCTGACGCTGTCGGCTGGGCTGCTGGCAACCAGGACAACGGCTTCGTCTCGCCCGATGCCTTCAAGACCGCCGATATCATCTGCCACAAGAGCGCTAAGCCCGTCTCCAACTCCGTCGTCGTTGCCGCTGGTGATGTTGTCACTCTGAAATGGGATACCTGGCCTGAGTCTCACCATGGTCCCGTCACTGAGTACCTCGCTCCCGTCAGCGGCGACTTTGCCAGCATTAACAAGCAGAACCTCCGATGGGTCAAGGTCGCTCAGAAGGGTCTCAAGTCTGGCAACAACCCCGGTGACTGGGCCTCTGACGATCTCATCCGCGATGGCTTCTCGTGGAAGTTCACCGTCCCCAAGAACCTCAAGGCCGGAAATTACGTTCTCCGACACGAGATCATTGGTCTTCATTCTGCTGGCCAGGCCAATGGTGCTCAGGCCTACCCCCAGTGCATCAACCTCAAGGTTACTGGCAGTGGCGGCCAGGCCATCAGCGGTGGTGGTGACTTCACCACCTTCTACACCCCTACCGACCCTGGTATCCTCTTCAACCTCTACCAGTCTTTCTCTTCCTACCCCATCCCCGGCCCTTCCGTCCAATCTATCTAAGACGCTTCCGAGATGGTGCAGACAAGTGGTTTCTAGTCCCCCACGTCGAGCTTGGGACCAAAGAGCTGGGCAACGGGCATGCCTTGGGCTCTGATATTCATTGGTTGCCGCTAGTCGGTTCACGTTTCACAAGCAGCAGAGCTGTGTTGTCCATGTATCTACATTTATGACCCGTACAAAGTTACCTTATGCAATGAACATATTGAATCTAAGCAAAAGATCCGCTCCCAAATAATTCACGTAGTATGATGATATCAAAGAACTAGCCTGTCGAGTCCAAGCCCGCATCGTAGTGTTTCATGCGCTAAAAAAGTTCCCGTTGGCGCTTAAAACTCTGACCATTATAAGCATTTCAGGCTGAAACCAAGGCTTATTGCCAGCATGTAACATAATGACTGTCTGCATATGCAATGTAACGCTAAGGATGGGCTGACTTGGAGTCGGGAACACCGCTGCAACATGTTAGCAAGAATTGCTGTCCGAACTCGGCGGCAATGGCGGGCAGAATAGCGACAAAAGCCGCGGCATTATGCCAAATTTATTTACGAAACAAAGAGATAAGCTTTTTTGAGATACGGCATTCGTTTCTAGGACCTGGGCATGTCGTTCAGTTGTCGGGTCTTAGGTTCTGATGCATTATTCGCCAAAACACCGCAATCATTTACTGCGCATGCCGCCCTGCAATCACGAGGGAACTATTTGACTGGCTGCCTCTAACATAAGCAGCATTCTTTCAGATAGAATCTAGGAGTGCTGTCAAGGGAGACTGCAAAAGTACCCGCTGTGTTCTCACCGACTTTCCATGTCATACCTCTTTCTTCAATGAACGTGGACATCAATTCCCAAGAAAGCAACTCGAGAGTTCCTTTTCATGATCCCGAAGCATCTTTTCATAAAGGATTCAGCTACTTGAACGATATATATCTCTTATACAGTACCTGGTTGCTCTGTAGACGACAGGTACATAGTGGATGAGTAGAGAGCAACTGTGCAAAAACAAATGCGTGACCGCTCAGTCCAGGTTGCTCT